ATGGTGCACTGAGGTGGAAATGGCAGCCACATGAACCCACATGCAGGTCACTTTACAGGAGAACCAGAGGACATCGTCTGTCTCCTCAGTGCACCCTGGGAGTATACAGCACGGTACAGTGCAGCCCAGCACAAGCACCGGAATTCACCAGAATGTCTTCACATTCCTGTGTTTTCTTTCCCAGCCTTCTTGTCACCATTTTAACTGGACAAGGTCTGTTGTGTTTTCGGTTTTGGTTTTGTTTTTTTCTTAAAGTACAGCAAAAACAGCAACATGAAGAATGCTTTTCCTGGATCGGGACTGTTCTTCTAGTGTTTGATATGGAAATAAGATGTTCAGTGTGGAGCGCAAGAGCCAGCTAGGTTCCTAACTCTACATATTATCGTTAAAATCATGATATGGGAGGAGACATTTATGAAGGTGGGTGGTTTCAACTGTTCTGAAAGCTTGCTTCAAGATTGGCTTTGGTTGATGACATTCATCTCTAGAATCAAATCCAATGAATAAATAAAATAGGTGCCCTATATAAAAAGCCTGGTAAGCCATTCATCAAAATATGATAGAGATACATTATATTCTCAGAGACACCCACATACATACAGAAAAGAAAAAATCTGTTTCAGTAAGACTATTCATATTATCCAATCTGGCCACCTGACTACAGCAAGTTAGGAAAATTAATTCAGGTAAGTACAAAAGCTGTGGCTCGTTCATTTTAACACATTCCAACAGAACTTACTCTAGCCTGACACCAAAGCAGATGAAACCAAAATCTACTGTACAAGAGGCTGTGTAAAGAGCAAGATTTTCAGCCAGAAGATTGTGGAAATCAGGCTAAAATGACAGTGTTCAAACAAATGTTAGGAGACAGAACTTCAGCTAGCAAAAAAAGGAAAAAAAACCAGCTCAACTCCACTGACTTCAGGGGAGGCATCCCAAATACCATCAGCTGGGAATCTGGCACTGTCATAAAAAAGATTTCATCTGTGGGCTACCATTGGTATATCTGGTACGTTTAGTTATGATACACATCTTCTTACAGGCTGTAACAAAAGAAAGAACCAAAATAGAATTTTAACAAAGGGCATCACTCCAGGTAAGTGCCAAAGAATAAATGTGTCTCTGTTCTACCAGCTCTGTAAAAGAAGGGGAAAAAAAGTTGAACGTAGCAAAAGGGTCGTCCTTGATAGGCTGTACTGCAGAAAGGGATGAACTACCACAAGTACAAGTCCATGGAGTGGTATAATTACTTCCTTTATAACTTTGCTCTCTTCTGATTATGTACATACATTTTAAAGGTCCTCCATCCTTCAAAAGGGCACAGGAGGAGGGGGGCCAGCTCTGTATAGCTGCTGGTAAGAAATCCTAATCTCAACACTGGTGTAAACTAGAGGTGTCTATACATTTGAGCACTTCCTGTTTTCACTTTGCGATCAAATATGTTCTTTGCAGGGCAAATAGGGGAGCACTTGAGGGAGGAAAGCAGAGATGTCTGAGAGGCTAATTGAGTGTACTAAGGACTCCTTGGCATAGAGGAAAAGGAGTCTTCCAAAGCTATGAATAAACTCTCGGCTTGGGTCAGATTTCTTGCTGTTTCTTTTCTTTAACCACCTTTGAACTCAAATAAAAACAGCCTTAATGTCAGGTTTACCTTTCTGATGTCGTAAGCTTTATGTACTATTGAAAAGCTTATACTACTAGACTAGGATTTCCTCTACTTTCTTAAACACTGGATATTATCCAGAAAAAGCATACACATTTCCAACCAATTCATCCTCAGATCTTTCATCTTCCGGTACGGTTGTAATTCCAAATGTAAGACAGAGCTCAGTAAGTGAACAAGAACATGACAGAAGCTCCTACTCCTTGCATTTGATTTCCAACAATAAAAACACGCATGTGTATCCTATTTCAAATATAATTAATGTTACTGCAAAATGGAAGCCACGATAGGGGTTAGAAATTGTTTTGAAAGACACAGCCTGTCAGATACATTCATTCTACATCAGAGTTCAAGTGCCTGTCTCTCCAAAAAAGCCACTTAGGCAATTCAATTTTTAAAATCAGCTACCTTAGGAGTTTGCAAACTGATTGAATAAAGGGGAAAAATAGCATTTCATTTAAAATCGTAAGTAAATACAATTAGTCAGAACCGAGTTACTCTCTTTCAATTTGAGAGTCTAAAGGAATTTCAGGTTTAATCCACGCCAGAAGAGATGGACTGCCACTGCCTCTCCTTCCAGGGAAACCAGAGGTTAATGATTTTTGTCATATTGAGACTAACAGCTAACAATTGCTACAGTTGGCCTTTAGTATTTTATTTGTCCTTTTGAGGTATTCAGAATAGGTGACAATGGCTTGCAGTTGAGAACATATGTAGAGAGACCCCTGTGGCTTATGGAAAAGTTGCTCCATGCTGGTTGGGTGTTTGAAAAAAAAAATACAACCAGAGCTCTTTTATGTTCCTCTCCTTAATGAATGCATGAATGTCAAAATGTACCAATGGCCCATTCAGGGGGCAAAGCCTAAGCAGCTCCTTCTTTAAGAACACATCCTGAGATGTAAAATACATTTGCTTAACAAATTAAAATAATGAGATAATTCAATTAGTTTCTTTAAAAAAAAAAAGAGAAAGAAAAAAGGGTACATCAGGGGATTATTGTAATACAAGAACAGGTCATACAACACAAAGGAGGAACAAACCAATTTGAAATAAGGTTAGAGTAGTAATGAAGGAATGTCCATTGAATCATGGAACGCCATTGTAAAGATATTTACTTGAAACAATAAAATTGTACATCACGGATTCTCCCGTTCTGGCTCAGCCAGCGTTGCACTTTGAATGGACAAGCTAATTTGAGAAAAAGTGCGAGATCTTTAAAAGAAAGGAGTTCTCTTCCTTCCCTGCATGTGTTTATGGCAAGAATCTTTCTGAATTTACATTGCACTGGTCAGGGGTCTCCATTATCAGTTTGCAGGTCTGAGAATTACAGCACAGTAAATCTTTCAACACCTGCAAACTCATTAAAGCTTGGATGGTAAAAGGTTTGGGGCTTTTTTGTGTTCATTTAATTTGATTTTTGCGAGGCCATCCTTACCAGTGATGGCAAATTTCCTCATTCATGCAGGATGGAGAGGGTCAGGAGAGAGAGGATGGAAACAAGGAAAAGGGATTTCAAAAAGCCAGGAGGACTTTCCTCAAGAGAAGCAAGAGGCAGTTGACTGTTTAATAAGCTTGTGTCAAATGTTTTCAAGGAGCACGTGAGAAAGGAAGGCAGGGAGAAAAGAACAAGATATCACAAATTTCGTAAGAGGAGTTAACACAGAGTCGTGTACAAAACAAACTGGTTTATCTGTGGCCCTGCTTTTTGCTGTCTGCCTGTACTACTCCTCTAAAGATACCCTACAGCTAAATGAAAAACCCTCTACTCACACTCACTCGACTTCCAAATTAAAAACATTTTACAGGTTAGTAAATCTCCAGCTGAGGTGATGTAGCAAAGAACAGCTGTGAAGTAATTTTGATAATGATGAGAATAATAAGCACATGGCAAGGTTCAGGGCTTTGCTGTTGCAGCTTCAGTGCTCTTGAATAGATAAAAGTGATTAAATACTCCTGATTATCCCTGACCAATATGTAATGGATTTACAGCCCTTTCAATTAGTCAGTATTTGCTTAGGACTCATTATTTTGTCTTTGGTTAAGTAATCAGCCCAGAGACTCATGTTCTGTCTAATTCCTCTGAGCCAAGTGGGTACAGGGCACCTGACCTTTGAAATGGCCATAGCTGGGAGGCAGGAATAACCACTACTCCAGCAGAGACACTGGCTATTCCAGCTAATCCTGACCCCACAGGCCAGATCAATGCACCTTAGTTTGCTACTAATGTCCTTACATCAAAATGATGGTTTAGAATTGTGGATCTATCGCTCCCCCCTTTAGCTGTGCTGCTAGCAGAGCAGTTCAATAGTCCCTATCATAAATAAATCGGGTACCTTGTCCTGAAATCATTACACTGTAACCAACATCAGCTGCCGTGGAAATTTATAAAACTTTGGTAGAAGAGGAGGTAGTTAATAACAGTTAGCATTTTAAGCCTTACCAAGTGAGAAACAATTTTACAGTGAGAGGAAGAGGAAAATCAATTGATAATTTTACCAGTTTCCATTATTTCCCACATGAAGCAAACTACAAAGAGGGTTACTAAGTTTTCTATAGAGCTGTGTTTTGATGCCTAAGTGAAGCTGTAATAGTCAACAGAACACCAACACATAAAACCAATTGCAAGCAGGAGGATAAAGATAACCTGTAGAAAGCACTGCTTTTTCACATGTTTAATCTCTCTCCCCCAAATGTGAATATGGCTAGCTTTTAACAGAATGGACTTGAAGAGAAGGTAAAAAGGTGCTTATTCTCTCTGTTACACAACTGAAGAATTAGGGAACCTGGAAGCCTTCTGTATTTCTCACAAAAAGTAACAATGACAAGTTTGCAAGCTGCTGCTTTGACTTAGCTCTAACATCCACAGTGCATGTCAGTACATACAGACCGGGGCTCTCTCTTCCACCACATACATATGAAGTTTGGGTAAACAGAGGCCAGCAGTAAAGAATCCAGAAGGCAGAGCTTTATATACACTAAAGCTAGAAACCCCCTTTTTTGTCCTTAGGAACATTTTGAATAGTTCAAAGCCAAAAATGGTTACTTTATACAAAGGTGTCGTTCCATGCTAGGGCTTTGTACTCTCTCTGTCTGTCTATAGGCATGTATGTGTGCATATATATATAAAAATATAGAGAGATAGATTTCCTTCAGATTTGTCATGATTCCAAGAGCCAAGAAAAAAAAAAATCTAGAAGAAAAGAAAAAAAAAAACCCAACAACTATTGAACCCTAATAGTGGTTCAGAAATTATGGGGACAATTGATTTCTAATAACGATGAATAAACCTCATTAGGCACATGAATAGAAATCTATTTTGGTTTTGGGCACCACTTACTGTGAGATGCTGGAAAAGCCACGCTCTCATGATATTTGTTGCTACTTTGGGGAAAATGCCTCTTTTCTTCTGACGCTTTTTGTCCTTGTCTGGGTCATCGTCATCCCCTGTACCAGGTGAGGCTACACTGTTGTCTAAACCATCTCCTACAACAAAGAGAAAAACAGGAAGGAGGAGACATTTAATGAACAAAATATAGAAGCCAAAAAGTATCATTAATTACCAAGACGCTACCACGGTTTTATTTGGATTTGCTAGATCAGGCACATACAGTTTCTCATTATATATAAGTGCTGATACAAATATGTAAAAATTAGAAACCATGTCTCTCCAAATACTAATTTTGCGTTTCACACATGCATATATCATTAATTCAATTATAATTGTGTGCTTGACATAGTGCAATAGCTCTTTGTCAATTACAGGACTCAATGTGGGAAAACCTGCCACAAGAAAACCCATTCGCTGCAAATGCATCCCTACAACCGCTCTGAATATGTACTATAAGTAATCAAGTTAAATGTTCTGTAGTCTATATATTTGAGGCCCTCTGCAGAGGTGGCAGTAACCATGTCACCGTTCAGTGCACATAACACACTGTCAGATGAGCCCCTCCCCATAACCATCACCTCCCAACACACATACATACGCACGCACAAACATGTACACCTAGTATGACCCTGCATACAGCATTTGCATGACGTGAAAACTTCTACATCTCTGCATCAGTGATTATTATCATTAAAAAAAAAAGATGCACATCAAGGTAGAGCTCTCACTTAATCAGAACTTTCCATCAACATCTTTCTCTTCTGTGCTTTTCCCTGGCATTAATTGTGCATTAGCAAAAATCATTTACTTTTAACAGTCATAGTTATTTTTTCTTGCCCTCCAGCAAAAATGCCTTGAAAGCCTGCCTGGAGGGCATCTAAATTATGTATCTGAAAAACTCTTCTGGCAAGGCATTGCAGGACCCCTACTTTCTTAAAATTCATACGAGCACGTCTTCCTGTTTTTGGGAAGGCATCAATCAAGAGCAGCAATATATGCCATATTCCTACATTAATATTTGAACTAATAACTTTAAAAAAAGGAAAGAAACAAGATCCGACTTGTGGCATAATCAAATGCAAAATAAATGAAGAATACTGGGACAGCACTGAGACTTTATAGATTGCTGTGTTTTCCTTACACATCATTAGCCCGGAGCCACACGAAAGAGGAAAACAGAGAAGTGGAGAGTTTATGCTCCCTGCTGGTGTTTAAGAAGCCGAGGTCCTGGAAGGACATCTGGGAATTGTGCTGAGACGGTGGTTTTTGTAATTTAAGAATAGACATTCATTAGCAGTAAATGCCATAAATCCCATGCTAAGTAAAAACCTTGTCCAAGAAAGCCTAAAACAATAAACTCTGTGCTCAATGTAGCCTGAGCTAGACGCTCCATAGCTTCCTGAGGAATGCTATAGATTCACGAGCTAATTCCTATAGCCTTGTCTAGCTCTGTAGTGCTACTAAACGAAATACGTTGCTGCTACATACAGTCCATTTGCTTCAAAACTTGCATTTCAGCTCCATCTTCCCTCCCGTGCCAGATCACCCTTCTTCTGCTGCCTCCCCTCTGAAAAACCAACCCTTTTGGACCGGAGAGACAGAGAAAGCCACAGCAAAGAGCTGGCAGATTAATTTTATTGACATTTCCATTTTCACTGCAATGTGATACCCTCCATCACATGGAAGAGATGACCCTCACTATTTACAGACTGACAGGCCACTTCATTACAACCACCCTGCCCCAAGGCAGAGCAGCTCCTTTCCATCTGCCCAAACACCAGAGCAAGACCCTGAAGTCACTGCTCTCTCTCATGCTCTTTTCTTTTTTTTTTTTTTTGGTATTGTTTGTTGCTGTTAACGATAGAGAAAGGAGAGTCGAATCACAGCAAACTAATCGAAGAGATTATGGAAGCCCTAAACGCTGTAACCAACTGTTCACTTTTGCAAGATGTTGGTTATTTAGAAAGCACTCCTTCCCGTGGCTCTCTCCCCCCCCCCATATATTCCACCCTACCCCTCTCTCTCTCACACGCACGCACGCACGCGCACACACACACACACACACACACGCTTTCCACTATGCCAAGGAACTGCTGCAAGGCAAATTCTCACAAACACTAATGGCTTCTGACTGCTCCTTGGCAACCCCAGCATTTTAACCTGGGTGGATATGCTCTCCAAAATACAGACACTGGAGCTATCTCATCAGCTGTTCATGTGACACAGATGGAGAGTGGCTATTAGGAGCCAGGCAATGGGCCTTGGGGATCTGAGGTGCTGTACTGTAGCCTCAGGCAATTTTGAAAAGCAGTACCCGGAGATGGGGGGAAAAAAATCCCTACTGAAAGTGCAAGTTTGAAGTCAGTCAGTCTGTTTGTCTATCTGTTGTGCGGATAAAGATATCTTTGTCTCTTTATGTAAAAGCTATATGTGTATGCACAGGGTGCGTGGAGCTGTAAAAGTTCTGCTCTGCACCATCCTTTCGCACTCTAGAAGCACCAGCTCACTTTCTATATGGACAAATTCATGCTTCTCTGCCTCGATATACTCTCCTGTTTGTGAGCATCCTCAGCAGGAGTCGCCTACACGCTAATCAGTGTTTAGACCTTTTGGAGAAGTTGTTAGTATCCTGGGTTTAAAAAGCTAATAGCAGCCCAGGAGATGAAAGTTCAGCTAAAGCTCCCACTCCCTTCCCACCTCAATCAGTGGTTGAAACAGTAAGAGTCGGTGCTTCCCTAATCTGTTCCATAACCTCATGAACCAAACCCCAAGTATCGTACCTCCAAATGATCTCAGGCAATGAATATAGCAAGATTTATTGCTCCTGGTGAACTACAGGCCCAATCCTGTTAAGCTGTATTGTCCTATCTTTAATGGCACTACAACTGCTCACACTAGTGGATAAGGTTTCTAGTGGCAAGAAATCACAGAAGTAGCCCATAACTGACTTTTCCAAGATGGAATGATTTACTTCTTGGATATGGGGGGGCCTGATCCTAGTTTGCTGTATCCAAATAAACATGAGTTACTTTAAATGAAGAAAAATAAATTATCAGAAATGAAATAAGATAAATGGACATGAAAGTCACTCTGTTGAAGACTGGTTTGAGTCTACTTTTAACTGCTGCACGAAGGACTCCAAAACTAAATCATTTAAACCATCATTACAAGTGGTTCTGTTTATGCCAACTGTTCATACCCTGATTTGGATGGTAATTTGTAAGAAGGGTAAAGTCAAGTTTTAACTTGGATGGAAATTGCAATTATATAGGCATAGTTATCGCAATTTTCTAGTGGGGAAATTAAGTCTAGATTTTGGCCCACTGACTCTCTCTGTCACACAACGGCAAAAAAAAGGAAGGGTGACTTTCTCCTGCTTTACGCACTATTCACTCATTTACTCTTGGTGCGAGTGACTGCAAAACCCTATCACTGTTCTAGGGAAGTGGAGAATTCTTAAGTGGCACTCTCTTTGTGGAGATGTCAATGACTACTCAGGATGCAAGCCAGTAGAGAATTAGGCATATTACCCAGCTTGTTTAAGATTATATCAATGCTATATAATAGTCTCAATGACCCCTATAAAAGTTGGAGAGAGTTTACAAGAAACTTTGCAAAGTGACCAACATGGAGTTCCTTAGAGACTTTCTCTTCTAGGGGAAGGGTTTATAGAGGAGGCTGAAGATGCACGTCTTCTTTACACGGCGGGAAGTTAGGCCTCCACACTAGCTTTGTGTGCAGACACTCTTAGTACTTGCTGAGGGTTTCTTCCCACAAGATAAATTACTTTGCATTGAAAGCAAAGGAGACTACCCCTTATTTAAAAAATACTGAATAAGTAGTTAGAGCAGGGTTTCCATTGCACCATAATTTCAAACTTAACTTGCTGCAAAGTGATTTCCTTGGACAGACTAGCTTGCTGACCCCAATGTTCTTACAGCTAAGGACTCTTAGGGAAACAGAGTCCAGCCCTACAGAAAGCCAGTCCAACCTTATTGTATCTATGAATTCCTCTTTGACAGTCCTCTACACTATCAGCATTATCTCAGCCTTAGTCCTTGTTTGTGTTCCTCACAGAGTAAAGACCCAGCAAGAGATGAAGTGAGTGCTGCTTAGAAGCTGCTCATCTGGTCTTTTCACCGTTTGTGAACAGAATGAATAACAGATTCCCAATCTATGCAAAATGATAACTGCAAGGGATAACCCAGCCAGGCCAAAGCACAGAAGCCTGGTAACAGCCCATATCCAAACTCTAGTAGTAGTTTCTATTACCACCATAAGAAGCAGAGCAGTAAAAAAAGTGATTTCTGGAAAAATACATTTCAGTGTTTGAGTTTCTTCACCATCAGAGGTGCCTTACAGCTTTATCGTTTGTCATGCTAAAGGAAAAGAGAGAAGAGCAGGGGTATCCAAGGTGGGGGGAAGACAAGACACTTCACCAGTTTTCTAAAAATAGCGCAAGCAGTATGAAAACCAAGTTAAAAGATTATGGAAAGGAAAGCTGCAGTACACTATGCTGATCTTAAGTAAACTACTCTACAATCTTTCCATCCAGTATTTTGATGGAGTAGAATTTGTAGATATAAATGCAAAACAAAGAGGAGAATCTGCATGCAGCTTATATTCACAATTTGCAATTATTTGTTTGTACTTATAATGTGTCCATCTGGACATGTAAGTATTGGACACCATTATTAATAAGAATGTTCAATTTACTAATATGATCCATATCACCATCAGAGAAAAATCTTAAAAATCTGGTTAATTACCACTGCCAAAAAAATGGAAAGAAAAGTGTTTGAAGATGTTTTGAAGACAAGACAGTCTGTGCTGTAGTGAGGACTAATAGAGAGGAAAGGTCAGCTCCAGAACCAAAGACCCTTCAGGAGAGCTCCTTATCTTCATTCCACCCTGTTAAAATCATCAGATGTTTAGCCTTGCAGCTTCAGCAGATCACAGCCCTCTGAATGAAGTGCTTTCTGGCTGTGGGGTTTTTTTTCTCCTCCTCTTAATGATCACTGTTCACGGAGGTTGACTTAGGCTCCTCACACCACAGAAGCAATACTTATCTACTGCATCTTACTGCCTGGGGAAA